CTAGATATGACAATATCTAGGATTGTTATCGAGACAAAGACAAACTGCTCACGAAATGGTATCAAAAACCAATAACAGGAGAATACAATTTAAATTTGTATGCAAACCCCCAAAATCCTAAAATTATTAATGTAGCAACTAATAGAATAAATAAATCTATTAAACTTACTGAGGATATTTTTTTTAAAGATATAAAATAACGGATATTCAAAATTAATTAATGAATAAAATTTATAGTGAATTACGATAATGGTTGGAATGGGAGTTGGATAATAACGCATGCTCAAACCCAAGAATACGACATGATAAGGATGAAAAATGTACTATCTCCTCCAACAGTAAGTAGTACTACAAAGAATTATAATTTCCAATTGATTAATAATAGAGTTGATTATCACTAAAAACGATTTCTGTTATCCCTTTTTTTATTTTGTTTTTACATTTTAAACCACAGATATATTTTAATAGACAGTATGACAATCAATGAATGATAAGAAGAAGAAATATTTTTTTAAAAAACGGCATTCAAGGGGATGAATACAGATCAGAATAGATTTTTGCAGAAACCTGGTGACAATTATGAATTGTGATGTATGATGTATTATTGGAGGTATACGTATGTAGATCTTTTAGATGAATATGGTGCAATGCACTTAAAGCTCCTTGTAATAATAAAATAGACTTGAGACTAAATTAAAGGGTATTTTTCTATATTTAAAGAATGAGAGCTCTGCGCATGAGTTAACCTTAGTTGTACACTTGTCAATTCGCCTCTTATAAAGTGACTTCATTAATAGTGAAATAATTCATGTTATATGTGAAAAAGTAGTGTAAACTGTTAAGTTAACAATTAAGTTGAAACTGGACATCAATAAGGCCAACTCAGCCAACAACTAGGTGCATCACTTATATTATTAAATCATATAATAATAAAAAATTAATATAATTTGAATTAAACAATAGAAAAGTTATTTGAAATGAGCATGCTAAGTCTAAAACACCGTAGTAAATATAAAACTTGTATAATTAAAAAACTGATAAATGATTTTGTACCAAAGAATACAGGAGGAGGAATAATCAATCACATTGGCTGGAAATTTATAAATATACATTTGAAAATTAATGAACACCCACTATATCAATCAAACTGCACCTTCAATAATTGAACAATAATAGACCAGAATATTTTTTTTATTTTTTTTTTGTCTATAAAAATGTATTTGTGCCTGTCAACTTATTGTTGACAATCAGCAAATGTGATGGCCGTACATGAAATAATGACATGACAGGCATGGGGAAGGAAAGTACTCAGCAGTACCTCTTCCCTAACTTGTTCCTATTACTTGGGTTGTTTAAAGAAGGAGATCTCTCATCCAACGCCGTTTTAGTCTCCTCCTCATGTTCTGAGGTATGTCAGCTGTGGCCATGTCTCTTATTAGTCTGTTATTATGTCCGTTTAAATTAGTGTAAAATTGTTGATAAAGGGTCATTATATGTTGGTCAACTGTTGGAAGGTGAAGGTCAGTATGTAAAGTTTTGTTAGTCACGCACCAAGGTGCTTTTGTTATGAGTCGCAATAATTTTGATTGGAACGTTTGAAGTTTTTGTAGGTGGGTCTTTTTAGCGATACCGTATATTTGTGATGAATACATCCATATGGGTTTAAGTAAGTAGATAAATGTATTCAGTTTCTGTTTTAGTTTTAGTTTGAAGATTTAGAAAGAAGAGAGTAAAGTAGTTTGAGTCTTTTTTGAAGTGTCTTATGTTTCATTTTAACATGCGGACCCCATGTCATCCTTCTGTCGAAGGTGAGTCCAAGGTAAAGTACCGTGTCCGTTTGAGGAATTTGATTGTTGTCAATATAAACTGGAGGGCAGGTGTTTTTTCGAAGAGTAAATGTTGTATGTTTGGATTTGTCATGATTAAGTCGAATTTTCCATAGTGTGAACCAATCTTGTAATTTAAGTAAGTGATGTTATAGAGTTAGTGAGGCCTGTGTAGGGTCTTGATGTTTTGTGAGAATTGTTGTATCGTCTGCATAAGAAGCTGTCAAGATCTCATCGTTAATAGGTATATTGTAAGTGTATATAACGTAAAGTAGAGGAGCTAGTATTGAACCTTGGGGAACTCCTGCCAAGATTGGACGAACTGAAGATATTTCCGAGCCCTGCTGAACTGAAAAAAATCTGTCGAAGAGGAAAGATTGAAGGATAAGATAGTAAGTGTATGGCAGTATAGTCTTAAGTTTAAAGAGAAGACCCTGGTGCCAGACTATCAAACGCCTGAGCAACATCCAAAAATACTCCAGTTGCATATAGTTTTTGTTCTAAAGCTCCAGCAATATATAACAGAGTCTGTAACTCTGTACAATTGATGTGTCATCGAATGGAATGTGCAAAAGCCGAATTGGTGGTCAGGTATTACCTGTTGGTCAGTCAATATGTCGACAAGTCTTTTGTATATTAATTTTTCAAAAACTTTAGAGCATATAGGAAGGAGGCTAATGGGTCTGTAGGATGAAAGACTGTATATGTCTTTATCGGGTTTATTAATCATCTTAATGAGTGAATATTTCCATTATAAAGGGAATTTTGAAGTCCTTAGTATACAGTTGTAAATTGTTGTCAGAAATACTAGAGCTTTCTTGGGCATTTGTTGGAGTGCTTCGGCTGTTATTAAGTTATAACCAGGAGTTTTTCTTTTCGGTAATTGTTTGATTTGAAGTGCAACCTGAGATGGAGTAAAAGAAGGGGGTGGTAGTGTCAGCTGAAGTGAGATATCTAATGTGTTAAGTACTAGAGTCTCATGCTCTGTGTTAGTGAAGTCTGTAAACAGTTTAAATACAGAAGAAAAGTGGTGAGCACAGAGTTCAGATTTTTCCTCATCCAACACGGCCCAGGATCCATCTTCTTTTCGGAGAGGTGCTGACAGCTCTCGGTGCTTTAACAACTTTTTGGTATGCTTCCACAAGCTCCTATCGTCAGTCGAAAGAGCACTTATGTAAGCGTCATAGTTAATAATGTTAAATTTTTGGATTTCTCTTTTAAGTTGATTGTTTAGTCGGTTAAATGTCTGTCTATCTGATGGGCATCTGTCAGTCTGCCATAATTGGTCCATTGATGAGAGCTTATCTTCTTTGCACGTCGATGGCCTCATCGAGTACAATAAGGTGTACTGCAAAATGATCAGAGCTCATACTTATGGAATGAGGTACAGTGCGCAATCCTTTTGTAATAAAGAAGTCCAAAAGGTCCGGGGATTTATGTCTTGATACAGGCCGGTATGTAGGGGTGTCAGGATTTATAGTGTCTAATGAAAGCCCTCAAATTTCTTCCTCTTGGTGTGCTTAGTCGTGACCCCCAATGTTGGTGCTTTGCATTGAAATCACCACCTGCTATGAAACATCGACTTAAGCTTTGAAAGAAGTTGTAAAACATCGAAGATGTCAGCACATATCTTGGAGGACATGTTAATAGATGGAAGCTGGTGCCAATGTGTTGTGTTTCATGCATAGTGTGATGCCTGTGGACTGAATGTCAGGTGTAGTTGGTAAGTGTAAATGGTTGTGTGATAATGATGTTCTTATAAGTATAGCAGTGCAGCCATGGGCAGTGTTGTCGGAGTGGTCTCTCCTGTGTGTCATATAGCCAGAAATACCGAATTTCGATCGCGGTGTAAGGTGAGTTTCCGTTATCAGGGCTATATCTGTATGTTTTTCATGAAGATATAAGTCCAATTCAGTTCTGTATTGTGTCAGTCCATTTGCATTCCACAGAAGGATGGACAAAGAACCTGCAGTCAGCTGATTAGCGGCCATTTTGTGGATACATCGCTTGAGTCACCTGTGGAAGCTGTTGGTGGATACTAAAAAGGGGCTGTATGAGGAAGTTTAAACCATTAAGTAATTGGAGCAATTGGGGTGAGGCATTATTTTCAGCTGAAGGTGACTGCTGGGTAGTTTCCCGCCTTATACCTGAACATGATGGTTTTTTGTGAGCAGATGCAGTAGCATTATCTGTTCTTGTCATCTGGTTTCTTGCTGGTGGTCTCTGCTGCTGAGCTGGCAAAGCATTTTTTTGTATTGGCTGCTCTTTTCGCAAGGGCTGCTGAAGAGTGGGGAATTCTTCAAACCTTGGTGGTGGAGGGAGAGGTGGGGATCTAGGAGGATGGTTGGTTTTTGCTGTTCTCCTATGTGCTCCTATGCTCCTCAGATCCTTCAGGACTTGGCATCCTCGATAGTTGGCCGGGTGGTCTCCAAGGCAGTTTGCCTTTGTCTCCCTGGTCTTTAAGCAGGATACACTTTCGTGGCTTTGGCCAAATTTAACAAATCGTGGAGAATGATTGCAATATGATTTTGTATGACCATATTGTTGGCATCTTATACACTGAGGTATAATTCTTTTTTTTTAGAGGCTCCTCTACAACTATTTTTGTATAATAAATGGTTTAAATTTCATAAATTTTTACATTGTAAGTATAATGAATAATGAATATGTGACCAGAATATTGAAAATATAAATTAAATTATTAAGTGAATGTGTGATCTTAAAATCGTTAGTATTCAGTACTCACTCACTCTTGAACAGAATACTTTTTGCCCATCTCTAATGATCAAGAAGAAAAAACTTTTATAATCATACTCAAACAGTTAAAATCTTACACTAGCTCTTATTTCTTTTACTTCAAATGTTTAATCAAACATTTAATCATCATAGACCTGGAGACAACTGAAAGAGGCTTTCAGAGTGGATGTAGCAATACATATTGTATTGTAAGGTAATAATTAATATAAAATTGAAAAACAAAAAGAATTGGTGAAAAAACATAAACAATAAATACTGAATCTAAATATCTAACCAATGTGAAAGTCCGAGAGAATGCTTTTACATTATGTGAATAATAAAAAATTTAGATTTTTATCGTAAAAGAAAAAATATCATTGTAATATATATTTTATGTGCATATCTAATATACTCTTTTATAATTTTTAAAACCATTACCAAAATAGTAACCCTGCCACTGGATCAACAGCTAAAGAATGAACAGTCTCAAGTCCTGAATGGACAACAACATATCGATGACTTCCATTCAACTTCGCTACTTCTATCACATTGAGCTTAGGATCAGCCCAGTATATGTTGCCTAAAATTAGAAAACAACTTGTAGATATTTGTTTTGAAAAGTAGATATTATAAAATAATAATAATAATAGGGATTATATCACAAGTGTATGGGAAAATCGTGGGATCACCTCGATCGCACTTGGATAGAAGAAGAAATGCTAAGTTTCCAGAACACCTCTGAAATTATTGAAGTGAGAATAACAGTGTCACAGGAGCTTTTAGAAACATGAAAAATTGGAGGGCACCTGGGCCTGATGGTATCAAAAATTACTGGATTAAAAGAGTTCCTTGTTTGCATGAATTGCTGACCAAGGGTTACCAAGACATACTTGATGACAAGAAGACAGTTGGTTTCTCTGATCGTATCACTTATATGCTTCCACAAAAGAATGAATTAAACCAGCATCCTGAAGATTTCCGACCAATAACATGTCTAAATGTCTATATAAAATTCTCACTTCTATCTTGGCAATTAAGATATATAAACACTGAAAATATGATACCCATAGAGCAGTTGGGTTGCGAAAAAAGGGCAACGGGTTGCTAAGAACTCTTAGTAATAGACTCGTTCATTGCTGCACAAATATTGAAAAAATAGCGAAACCTCTCAATGGCATGGATCGATTATAAAAAGACTTTTGACTATGTGCCACACAGTTTGCTACTTAAAGTACTAGATATATACAAGATTGAATCTAAAGTAAGCAGGCTCCTTTCAAACTTAATGACAGGATGGAAAACTATGCTGAAAGTTGGAACTATCTGCACAGGGAATCAAATTAAAATATTAAGAGGAATATACCAAGGAGATTGCCTAAGCCCCTTATGGTTCTGTATGGCTTTGTTTCCACTAAGCAGGATTGTTCGAAAGAACAAGATGGGATACAAACTAATCATCAACGACGAAGCCACCACAGTCAACCACAGCTGGTACATGGATGACCTTAAACTATATGCGAAAAACAAAGACCAATTACAAAGTAAGGTTGAAGCCATTTCATCTTCTACTAGTGATATAGGCATGTCACTAGGTCTGGATAAATGTGCAGTGCTCCACACAACCAAAGGAAAAGTGGTTAGTATGCAGAATATTCTAATCAATGAAAAAGAGTAGATCAAGGAGCTTGAAGAGAATATGTTATATAAATATCTGGGCATGCAACAACATCTTAAAATTGCAAGAAAAGACATGCAACAAGACCTTCTGACAATGTTCAAAATTAGATTGCGGAAAGTGCTCAAAACCCAGCTAACTGGGAAACAAAAAATTAAGGCCACCCTCAAAGATTGTCTTGTGCGAACGACTCTCACACAAGAACAGGCCCACCACCCAATATCCTCCAAAGCTGTATTTACCTAGGAAGGAAGGAGGACATGGTTTGCTAAATATCGAAGAAGCTTGCTGCAAGCAGAAATTGGCCCTATGACGATATTTTCTCACAAAAATAAGAGAGGTTTATCTCGCAATAGTCGCAGGGGCTAGCTGTAGTGCACAGTTAGTGAGAACTGACGCTCCTCCGGCCTCCCAAGTCCAGTACACTGCACAAAACACACATGAAAGTACACAATTCACTCACACTGACGCAAGGTCACTAACAAAACACACCCTAGGAAGCCGCCTCGGATGGGGGAGCACGTCAGGACGCTCTGAGGAGGCAGCCCCTCCACCTGACTCGGGGCAGTGGGCGGATAACCTGTTCCCCTTAAATTACCTCTATTACGAATGCTCCAAAAAGATTAGACTGACCGATAAACAGGAAACGACACAACGCTAATCAATTGGACTACACTTTGGCTTCATGGAACGTTTTAACTCTACATAGACCCGGAGCTACACAAACGCTCCTAAACATTTTAAAAACATATTCAATAGACATAGCGGCGGCCATCCAAGAGATCAGGTGGACTGGACAAGGCAGCCAAATTTCTATTTAGATTGATACAGTATAATAATCGAATATATATTCGTTCAACACCAATGTTTACAATATGAATTTGTTAATAAAACTAGTATACATAAATGCATGAAATGAAATATAAAACATTCGAGTTTTGGTTCTATTTTCAAGATATAACTAGGAAATTACCTGATACCCAGTCAACTGCCAATCCTGTAAATAAAATGAACTATTAATTGAGAGTTGTGATAGTTAAACATTAAATTTATGTTTTATTAGGAGTTTACAGATGATAATTAAATAAAATAATACATGAACCTGTGAGCCAGTCAACAGGAAGGGAGTCAACAGGTTCATGATGACCAATTACAACTTCACGACCGGTACCATCTCGATGGACTCTTGTGATTGTACCATGGTCACCATCTGCCCAGTAGATATAATCATTAGCTGAAAAATAAAATTAACATATATTTTCCGAAATACAAACTGTAATGTAATAAAAGCATTATTATTTCAGTCCAATTAAAATAACTACTTTACTATAACATTATAATAATCAATTAATTTGAAAACAATATCAATAGCTTTGAATGTAATGAGGGAATATAACACATATCTTGTATATGAGGAATCATGAGTCTTGTGTTGAAAATCTGTATTTTTTTTTACTTTCATTCTTTAATCAGTGCCAATCAAGAACTGAAAATTAGCAAATAGTTTGAAGTCAGTTAACAAAGAAACTGTGGTAACAGGAGAGACTGCACCACATCTTTAATTTACTTACATAGGAAGCCTTTTTATTATTATTATTATTATCATATTTACATCTGTATTAGAAATAAAAATACATTCAGTAAATGTCAATACAAGAATATAATAACATGAAACCACTTGTTGAGAAACTACCCACTGGTAGCACTCTAAAAATGTATTTACAACAGAAGATCTTCAGGAGATCTCGAGGCCATCTTCTTTTCAGACGCCTCGGAGGAGAAAAAGAGAAAAAACTTAATTCTGAAATTATAATCATATTTGGATTATGACTAGGGCTCGGATTTTAAGGATTTATTTTCTGTTTAAGGGAAAACAGAGTTCTCAATAGATCTATGCTGATCATGAGTAATAGAGTTAGAATAGAAAATTCTATAGGATATTTTTTTGCAGTAAAATATAATTTTTTGGCAATTTTGTACTACACCAAATCTGTTTCGCATTTTTGCACAAAAAAAGATCTATTCTAGAGTCTACATTCAGAATTTGATTCAATTGAATGCATTCATGAATTATTATAAAAGCTTTTACGATTAACTAAATATCTAATTATATCAATTTGATTAGGAGAAAAACCCTTGCAATATCCAAATATTTGTCAAGAAAGCATTCGTAAACAATAACTAAGAAAACCTAACACCTGCGTTTTGAATCTGACGAAGTTATCAATTCACTACTTTGATTTTAAGAAATATTTACTTTTTACACACGGTGTTTCATTCGATTCGATTAAATAATTCAATGCTGTACAGCCTACAAAAATACATAATATGGATAATTCTTTTTTTCAACAGTTTGATATAAATGAAAAAGGCTTCTCCCCATTACTTAATCATTGACAAATTAGTATGCTTTTCTGTTCTACACATTTTCAATAAAAAAGGAAATTATTTGTAACCAGTTCCATGCAAAATAAAAATGTTATCATATTTTTATTTTAAACGAAAGAGACATTAACAATGTAAGAATTGACTTCAGAAATTATTTGGATTTAATAAAATTTTCCTGAATTTTGCGACAATATTTTCAAGAAATATAGGAAATATTATTTCCTATATTATCCCGCATTTGGATCAGTAACATGATTTCCAACCACCTCCAACACCCTCCATCCCGTTCGTCCCCTTTATCCCCCCTGTTTTTTAAAGATTTATCCTCAACTCATTCTTTCATTAAAACAAACCACCACCTCATTATTACTAAGGCCGACAAGGGAACTTTGACCGTTATTATGGACAAGACTGAATACTCACATAAAATGCATCAATTATTTTAAGACCAAACAACTTACGCATCCTCCTCCCGTGACCCAACCCGTACACTAATGTTAAAATTCAACCAACACATCAAAAACCTACTCGAGACAAAACAGATTAACCGTCCCACTTACTAGAACCTCATATCCTACAACTCCTTAGCACCCCACTTATATGGACTCCTAAAAATTCACAAACCTGGAAATCCCCTCCACCCTATCATCTCCAATATTAACGCCCCCTCAGCTAAACTCATCAAATTCTTTTTACCCTCTCTCCAAATACTTAGCCATAATAATCGTTATGACATTAATAATTCATTACACCTTAAAGAAGAGTTATCTTCTCTCCATATTCTTGACAACTTTATCCTTGTTTTCCTAGACGCCGAAAGCCTATTTACCAACTTACGTCTTGGCCTTAAGTCCCATAACAAACTTTCTTTTCTTTTCACCAACTTGAAGGATCCCATACTTTTACAACACCAATCTAATGTAGTTTACCGGATACCTTGCTCCACTCCTAATTGTAATAGCTCCTATATTGGCGAAACCAAAAACCATCTCAAAACCCGCATTTCCCAACATAAAACATCTATAACTTGCCAGAACCCTTCCGCCTCTAAACTATCAGAACATGCCTTAACCCTCAACTATTCATTTGATTTTGAAAAACCTCTATTCTTGCCACGTTCCCTAACCATAAAAAAGACTCATTTCCTAATCCATCCATATTCACATGGAACAGAATCCTGTTAATCATAAAGTAGATAAAAACTGCATTTCTTTGACATATAGACACATTTTAAATCTTATAAGTGAAAAATAACTTATATATTACATCTAATTATATTTTCATTTCCAACTGCTCCAACACTTATTAGACAAACGCTCTAAACTTTCAACTAATTACAAAAGACTCATCTACTTAACCATAATAAGACCTATATGGACATACAGAGTTGAGCTTTGGGGTTCTACCAAACCATCGAATTCCTATCGTATCCAATCCTTACAATCCAAAATCCTTCATAAAATCCTTAAAGCTCTATATTTTGTCACAAATAAAACCATTCATAAAGACCTTAATGCCACTGATTTAGCCCGAGCCAGATGTTTCCAGCCTTGCTTCTTCCTCGATTCCTGATAATCCCCTTAGGCGTCTGAAAAGAAGATGGGCTCGTAATCTTCTCACCTAGAATTAGATAGGGAGTGCTACCACTGGGCAGTATCTCTTCAAGTCTGTTCATGTCATGATTTCTAATGTGTGCATTTTTACTAGTTGTGTTATTTATACAGTTGTAAATTTCATTGAATAAATAAATTAAAAAAAAAAAAATTATTTTTATCTACTTTCAATTTTTATTGATTAATTCAATTTAATTGTTCATTATTCTAAGTATTTTCACTTTGCATGATTATCCGTTTTCACTTTGTATTCATTTTACTTTTTAACCATATCTCAATATTATCTAATATTTAAATGTAATTTTCTTACATATGTACAACCAAATATAATTAAAATTATACATATATTTTTTCCCTCTCTATACTTCTAAGTTAGTTCTGCAATATATGGTCTCTTATTTCTATATTTATATTTTACTTCTATGTACATTTTACTTCTTCCATTTTTGTTTTTATTCGCATTGTACTCTCATCTATAATCTCTTAATTCTATTTTATATGTATATGTATGTATTTATAATTTAATATTTCATAGATATAGTATTTTTCCCTTGTATCCATCCATATCTTAAAATTTTAGATACTGTAATTTTCTAGGTTTTTCCCCATTACCCAAACAAGTCAGCGAATTCTCCATTACCTGCCCTTACCCTGATTTTCCAGTTCTAAGTGAAACTCCTAGCTGAACACATCTGTAAGTCTCTATTTTTATTCTTCTAATTTTATTTACTTATTTATTTTTTTTTTTTTTCTTTCTCCACATTCCTTTATGTCTATTATTTCATATTATATCCTTTTTCCTTTTCTTTCAATCTCTCCTGTAGATCTGTAGAAGTATATTCACATTTGCATATATTATATATTACACTACAACAATTGTTACCATCTATTTACTTCAGTTTAGGATCTTGTTACTTAGCTTACTCTGTTTATATTTTAATGTACTTACTGTTTATAATTTTAATAAGCTTATTCACATTGTTTATAATTTTTTGTCTAAATATTATGTAACTTCCACAATTCTCTATCTTTTTGTATCTTGTCCGTTCTAGCCCTGAAGAAGACCTGCAAAGTCGGGTCGAAACGTTGGCTTTTAATAAAATAGTTTTGCCACTATTTAGCCTATTTATGACCGCCACCCCAGACCATCTTCCTTTATAATGCAACGGTCAACTATTAAATATTCAATATGATTTGAAATATTACTTCCCACAAACATATAAATAATTGGAAAAGTTCCTAAAACCATCGATGGAAGTCAGCTCCTTCATTCATTCATCAATTGAATCACTGATGGCTTAGTGGTTCCAATTGCTTTTAGAGTAAATGGATCCTCTGGATGAAACCTCAGTGTTATTATCTCAATTTACTTTACATGGTTATTTATTTCAATTAACTTTCATAGTTATTTATCTCAATTTATTTCACATGTTTAAAGAAAGGTATTTTTTATTTTATTTTTTTCATGAGTTTAGTAACCTTTTTAAAGTGTTAATCTTCTCCTGAGACCCATCAGGTCATTTTTAAACTAAGCATAAATAACTGTTCATCGCTGCTGGATTGAATTGATTAATGGAATTGAAAATTTGAAATGAATGTTAATTCTTAAAATTATCATTTTTGTAAGTGCCATTGACCTCGGGGGGGGGGGGGGAGAGGGGGGATAAGCTCTTCTGGTTTAAACTCTACAAATATTATTCTACACTATATATTATTTTTATTAAACAATCTAATTGATAATATTGATACCATATAAATTGATTTTTTATGATCTATTCCTTAGAATATTTAGATATTCAGATTTGGACTCAGGAATTTATGAGATATCCAGAAGTTATTTTAAATACAGGATAATTTTAAACCATGAAAAAACATTAAATCCTACAGTATAGTAATTAAAAATGAAGAGTTACAACACAGCAGTATTATATTTCTTTTGATCTAGTGATATTTTTTAATTATACTTAATTCTAGAATTAGCCTTATTCTACCGATTGTAATATCATGCAACAGACTAATACCGGAGGAAATACAGTCTTCTTTGAGGCAATTAGACTTACCATTAATGACAAGGAAGAATGCAACAGACAGTGATTTTGGGAACTGAAAATATTGTTAGGTAGTTCAAAAATATCAAAGAATTTTGAAAATACATAAATGTAATATTTGGCCGACCAAATATGTCTCCAAGTATTATCTATGTATAATAGATACCATTGTATATAAGAAACAA